GGGGTCGCGGCGAGGGGCGGGGTCGCGGCGAGGGGCGGGGTCGCGGCGAGGGGCGGGGTCGCGGCGAGGGGCGGGGTCGCGGCGAGGGGCGGGGTCGCGGCGAGGGGCGGGGTCGCGGCGAGGGGCGGGGTCGCGGCGAGGGGCGGGGTCGCGGCGAGGGGCGGGGTCGCGGCGAGGGGCGGGGTCGCGGCGAGGGGCGGGGTCGCGGCGAGGGGCGGGGTCGCGGCGAGGGGCGGGGTCGCGGCGAGGGGCGGGGCCGGGGCGGCACAACGGGCTCGTGCTGCGATGGCGGCCTGCAATCAGCTGCCGTTTCTGCGCGATCTTCTCCTAAACTGGCGTGAGCCCGCAAAGCTTGATAAACTGCTCTGCATGGCGTTAATAGAGAGGCTGCTTTTTTATCGCCTAGCGTGGCACTGTCCCAGAGTTTGTCACCAATATCATCCCAAACTTCCGGGTCATAAATGGATATAGTGTTTAATGTGGGATTAGCTTTGGATGCCCACAAAAGTAGACGTTCTAAATTTTCTTCTTCTACCGTTTTCCCATATTTTTAAAGGATTTTAGCAAAGGCTTGCGAGACTGCCTTTTGCTGTTTCGTTAAAGGGGTTCCCATTCCGTTCTTGGCTGCTTACCTTACTCCTGTGAAGGTAATTGAGAGCTCTATTTTCCATCGCTTCATTTCAGCGAAAAAATCCCGAAAATGTTCAGCCGAGCCGTCTTGCCAGAGAAACACCTAGTTTCGTTCTAACGCACCGTGGGCGCCATTTGCAGTGCATTAGGACAGGGACTCAGTGGGGGAGAAACTGAGACAAGTTTATTGGGGGTTGTAGCCATTTTATTACCACAAAGAGAAAAACATTCCTTATGAGGCAAAAAGTGTGACCGCAGCATCCGATTGGCTGCTAGCTGTCACCTAGGGAGACGGCAGCTTTCGGTACTACAAACTCACTTCTGTAATGAGTTGTTCTGTTCTCTGCAAGGTCTGGGTTTTTTTCCAGGCTTTAATCCCCAGACAAGCCCCAGTGTTTCCGCAGCAGGGCCCATTCCCCAACCCGAATGACAGGTAAAATAAACATGAAATTACTGTGATATATTGAGGAGAAAAGACAACGCAGAAAGAATCGAGCCTTGAAGAGAAAAGACAACGCAGAAAGAATCGAGCCTTGCAGAATATACCATCTAAGGAGTCTTTCTGCTGTGCCTTTTGCAACCAGACATGCCTGTCTCGTATTGGCCTTTTTAGCCACCAACGCGCTTGCAAGAAATGTGGGTAGAGCCCTTCCCAAATCTTCGTTCACGAAGCCCGGCCATGACATGACTGTGATATATCAGGGAAATCCCCCCAGGCACCTGCATCAGGCACAGAACAGTTCTGTGGGACCAGGAGCTTCCTGGGTGTCAGAGTAATTCTGGAGCTAATGTGGTGACAGACATCAGCTCAGCTCAGATAACACATGCTAGCACTCATCCCCGGCCCAAGCAGTGCCTCCTCTGGCCTGGCTCAGCCTTCCCAGCCAACATACTCTGTTCCCAAAGCAGGACGCTCCCAGCTTTAGCTATGACCCCGGAGCACAGCCCCTGGCACAACTCTGGGGCAGCCAAAATGTCCCAGGCTGGCCCAGAGACTTGGGAGAAGCACAAAACATTCTGGGTTAAGGGCAAGGCTCACAGGAGGTGCCAGTTCCCTCCTGCCCACTCCCACCCAGAGCTGCACCAGCAGCTGCTCGGCACCTGCAGAGCTCTGCCAGCACATGTGGGACACAGTGACACCCCAAGTCTACATTGCCAGCTGGACACGGGCACAAACTCCCAAACAATGGAAATCAGGTGAGGCCAGAGCACAACATACAGGGCTGAGCCCAGGACCGCTCCTGTGCAACCTGGGAATGGGGCAAACCTCAACCTGTGACCCCTCCACGTCACGCTGGTTTGGAGTTTGGGACGGGAACTTGATCCAACAGTGTGGAAAAGTTCCATGCTCACCTCCCAAGGGACCTGAGTCTTCCTGGGCTTCAGAGTAATTCTAGAGCTAACGTGGTGACAGACCTCAGCTCAGATAATACATGCCAGCACTCATGCCCAGCCTCCTCCTGCCTCCTCCAGCCTGCCCAGCCAACACACTCTGTCCCCAAAGCAGCACGCTTCCACCTTGAACTGTGAGCCTGGAGCACAGCCCCTGGCATGGGGTTGGAGCCATCGCCACTGCTGGGAAGAGAAAACCCACCCGGAGCTGCCACAGGAACAGCTCAGCTGGGCTGGGATCGGGCTGATGATCCTCAGCCGTTGCCTTTCCCCGGCCCAGGCCCACAATTCTGGGCCACACGGTTCCCCAGCAGCACCAGGGCTTGGGGCAGAAGCTTTGTCATCGCGTCCTTGTGCAGCGTCACCTTCCAACAGCCCCAGCCTAAGAGCGGGTGTGGTGGTGGCGCAGGGGCTCTGTGACCAGAGGGGTCTGTGCCCAGGGGTCATGCCACTCACCACCTCCTCCAGTGCCCATGGGACACGGGCCCTTCCCCAAGCCCTGCCTGGGACAGCTGTGAAGGAGGCTGAGACCCTTAGCCCACTCAAGAGCCAGCGAACTATAGGGAACATTGTCCCAGAGGAAAATGTCGGATGGGACTGATCCTTTACATTTAAATTTAAAAAGCAACATTTTGTTCAGATCCGAGCAGTGATGCCAATTTGTTTTGCCAGGGGACGAGTGCCAGCACAAGGCAGACAGACACCAACTTTAAAGAACAAGTGTGCAAATTTACTAATATGCAAAACAGCAAAGAATTACAAAAGAAGCAAAGAATTACAAAGGGATAAGCTCAGTAATGCACCTAATCATTACTACAAAGAAATTCTGTAGTGATTAAGAGGGAGATACATCACTAGTTGCCCCTTTAATACATTACCTGTAATGTCAGCTGGGGAGTCCCCGATCCCAGCAAAGGGCCGGAGAACCACTCCCAGGAACTGGGAAATCCTACTCAGTGTGTCCACTTGTAGGTGAGGTCTCTGTCTTTGCTGTGAAAGGGTCCAGCTTTTATATTGTTAAACAAACAAGCTTACATCACTACTTAGTGCAGAAAAACATCTGGCTTACTTGTCTCCTTGGGTTTCACCCAAAGCCTGGCCAGGACACAGAGGAAAATCAAAGGAGTTAGTTTTGACTCTCTACTGCCAAACAAGGCCAGATATCTATTTCCAAGGCCTTGACCGGTCTCTAAATACAGAAAGACAAATACATTCATATTTCATTAATGAACAGATACAAATGTTCACTAATAAGCAGACAGAAATATATTGTACTAACAACCATACATGTTTACACAGGTGTACTCTTATCATAGTACGTAATTTATTAATGATTATACATAATTTTGGCTAATAAGCAGATACATGGCTGAATATAACATTAGGTTGGAAGGTTCATCTAAAGGTCAACCCTGGCTCAGGCCTTGTTCACTTCACCATAGCAGCCCTCACGGTGTTTTGCTTTGCATGGTAGCTAGAAGGGCGTTAATAATACAGCAGTGTTTTGGCTACTGCTGAGCAGGGCTGGCACAGCATCAGCACTGTAACATTCCTTTGCCAATCGAGAGCAAGATTCTGGGAGGGGACACAACCAGGCCAGCTGACACAAACTGACCAAAGGGATATTCTAGACTATATGACATCAGCTCAGATATAAAAAGTAAGGAAAGGAGCAAGAAGAGAGGCATTCGTTGTTTCGAATGGCTGCTTGCTAATGAACCATTATACACACTGCTGAAGCCCTGCTTCCCAGGGTGTGGCTGGACATCGCTGCTGATGGGAAGTGGAGAATAAACATTATTTTCCTCTTCACTGGGGGAAGAGGAAAAGCTGTGAGTGCCCAGGATGTAGAAGGTTCTTTCTCCATCACTTCTGTGCCAGGTGAGCTTGGGGTTTGCTGCAGAGATATGGCTGCTGATTTGAGCAGTTCCCACTCTTGAGTTTACCATCACCTAGGTACACACACTCTCCTTTGCCAAGGATGGGGACTCTGCAACAAGGAGCAGAGACAGAGCTGGCACAGGACAGGTCGTCCCCTCCATCCCCTCCAGCAGCAGCAGGAGACAAACACTGCCCATGAGGGACAGTACCAGTAGCCTTGTCCCCCCCAGGCCCTGACCATACCCCCATCCCCTGCCTGGCTCCCCGGGACTCACGAGGAGTTGTAGCTGCTGCCGTCCCCCCACTGCAGCTGCTCACCCCGTCTCCGCAGCCCGAGCCAGTAATTGATGTCACCCCTGAGGAGGAAGAGGAGGCCCTGGAAGGGAGAGCGGAGCCGGCAGTTGGAGCTGCCCCAGCCCCTCGAGGGGACCCGCCCGGGGCTCCTTCCCTGCAAGGCCCCAGAGCAGGACTGCACCCCTGGCCCTGCAAGCACTGACCCCGGGGGCTGCGGGGCTCTACCCAACTCAGGAAAACCCCCAGCCTCCCCTCTGTCGCCCTGTACCCCTCACAGCCCCTCACTCACCATTTCCTCATCCTTGAGCACAGCCAGGGAGGCCCCGAGCTTGGAGCACCAATCCTGGCCCTGCTCCCAGGTCCCCATATCTGTCGAGAGGCAGGAGCAGATCCCGCGGTACCCGACCCAGTCCCAGGGACAGGACAGCAACTGTGAAGCTGCAGGCACAACTGGAACCTGTCCACTGCATCTTGCTGGAGAGAGAAAAGGAGAAGGTCTGAGGACTCCCCTCCACAGGGAGCAGGGACTCCGCGCTGTGCAGAGGGGCTGGGCTGAGGCTCCTCCCTTACCTCCCAGCACAACCACGGCCACTGCCAAAGGCAGGGTCAGGAGCAGGAACAGAACCATTTCATGGGTGAGCCTTGGATGGGATATGAACCTATTGCCTGGAGCAGGAAAAAGCTGCTGGCCATGAGGACAGGGCTGCCCTGAGCAGTTCCAGCCCTCACATGCCCCCACCCAACACCAGCTGCCCATGAGAGTGGGAGGGACCCCCAGCCCGTGTGCCCCTCACTCAGCTGGCAATGAGAGAGCAAGGGCCAGGGACACAGGTGAGGGGACAGCCAGGAACACGGCCAGGGACACAGGACATGTCTGAGGGGGCAGCCAGGGACACAGGTAAGGGCACAGCCTGTGTCAACAGAGCTGCCCAGAGCCGGGGGCAGCTGGGGGTGTTGGTACTGGCCATTGACAGGGGCGAGCAGAGCACGAGGCCTCTTCCAGACACCTGGAGGAGTCTCACACTTGCCAGTCCCGTCCTGCTGGGGTGACACTTCCCCTCCCTACAGACCTCCCTGTACTCACCCAGACCTTCCCTCGCATTGTTTCCATTCTCCATATTTTGACTTGCCGCAGAGTTAGAAGTGGCGTCTAAGAAAGGAAAGGCAGTTGGGAGACCAGGGACACAGAGTGAATTCCTTAGTTTTGTTGGAGAAATGTGGAAATGGGGTTGCATGATTCCCAGGAATGCCCTGGCAACTCTTCCTGTCTCCACTGGCTGTGTCTGTTTTTCAGTTCCAGAATAGTTCGGGTTGAATGGGACTGAAGCCCATGCCGTTCCACCCCTGCCCCAGGCAGATACACCTCCCACCAGCCCAGGTCACTCCAGGTCTGGTCCCACCTGGCCGGTAACGCTGTTGGTGAAGGGGCAGCCAAATCAGTCTAACCGAGAAGAACCGGGACGAGCCAGCGCTGCTGCGGCACCGGCTCCTTCCGAGCATGCTGAGGGGTCATTGGGAAGAAGACGACCATGGGCAGCCGCTCCCTCAGCGGCCCCTGGGAAGGGGACACGGGGCGAGACAAGCCCGCCGGACCCTTCTCAGCACCGCAGCCGCAAAGAGGCTCTGATCGCCTCCGCCACTTTTATAGAGGCTGAGGTGTTCGCCCACACCGCTCTGACCAAGAGCGAGGAGTGACGGGGGAAATCAGCCCACGGGAGTGGAACGCAGACCCCGTGTCCGTGCGGCGCCGCCTCGGCCGACTCTTCATCCCGGGAACTGAGCCGCGGTCCAGCCGTGGGATCTGCGGCGCTGCACAGTGACCGGCCGGGGAAGTGCATGAGCCGGGCGGGGGTTCCTGGTTACCTCTGACGTTCCCTCAAGGCCGTGTCCCCACCAGGATCGGGCGAGCCCCCGCAGGCCCCAAACCATCTGGGGGGACAGCCCCAGAAACCAGAACTTTGGCCGCGGGCGCTTGGAGCTGAACGAGGGGGATAAAGGATCCCCCGGCCCCCCCGGTGCCCCAGCAGTGGCTCTGACCCCCAGACTGAGGCTGTGTCCCCCCCGGGCTTTGGGGGGTGAGCGCAGAGTAGGCGCTGAGCTGCTGGATGTCTCTTGACCGATGGGGCTGAGAGGGACAAGGAGGTGTCAAACAAGTGGCAAAAACAAATAAATGAATGGTGTGTATCATGTCCTCCCTGCTGTGCCTTACTCCATCCCTCCCCCAGCTGGAGCCTTTCTGCTAAAGCCCTGTAAGATGCTTTGCTTGGGCCCCTGATCCCATGGCCCCCAGGATAAGGGAGTATCCAGACCCTCCTTGGCAACTGCGCTGTGACTGAAAGACCCACACAAGGAGGTCTCTGCCACCCCATGTCACCCAAAGAGCCACAGCCGGGGCCAGTAGGGGTTTATGGAGCTGCACTGAGGGGTTCCCGCTGCCCCATGTCATTAAAAGAGCTGCCCCGAGGGATGGGCAGGGGAAACGCTGGTGGCACGTTTGGGGTAGAACATGGGGTCCCATGGGGCAGATCTGAGCTGGGAGGGAAGGGTAGACAGAGACCCATGTGTGTCTGACTATCCCAAAATAGCTCAATTAGCCCAAAATATGCCTGAATTCCTCCCAAAGTAACTCTGATAATTCCCCAAAGATTTCTGAATTCTCCCAAAATAACTGAAACTTCCTCAAACACTTCTGCTTCCTCCACAATACCTTTGATTCCCCCCCAAATACCTCTGAATCCTCCAAAAATACCTGAATTTTCCCAAATACTTCTGAATTATTCTAAAATACCCCCAAACTCTCCCCAAATACATTTGAACTCTCCCAAACCCTCCTGAATTCTCCCCAGATACCCTGAACTCTCCACAAACACCTCTGAATCCTCTGGAAA